GATCATCATCATTTCATAAGAAAATTTGAAACAATGTCTGAAAATAAATTATTGAGGAGTGACTCATTTGTATCCGCTAAAATACTAAGTAAGGAGTTCAGGTTACTGAGCGTATGATTTTTCTGAAGAACAAAGAAGTCCCTTGCTGGTTAGTGTGAACAAGCTTGGAACCTAGAACCAAAGCTTTCTCGAACCTTTTGATATTAAATATTAAGCACTACCTTGGTGAATCACATATTCTTCTAACTACTGTAAACCAGATACAGATTGGCACTGAAGAGAGAATTGTATGGTATTTCTTATTTGCTTTGATTGGTTAGCATCAAACTAACGTTTTCCGTACAAAGTAATATGTGTTTATTGTTGAAAAAAATTAATGATATATTGTTGGAGCACTGAAATGAAGCTAAAGAAGTGAAACGTAAGCTAGTAGTTGGATAGTAGTAAGAAGCAAACTGAATGGATTTATATCTCACTCACCGACTTAGTATTACACGTCCAACGAATTTTCAACAACACCCCTCTTAATTATGAATATACAATGAATGAATTTCGTGGCAGTTTATGTACCTTGTCATACAAAGCGTTAGTTGAAGGTTACAATTTACCATTTACAAGTCGGATTTTATGACTGCATTTGGTGAAGCTACTAGCTATCTAAAATATTCTCTTGAATACTAACTAAATCTTAGGAAATACTTCAACTCATTTCTGGAGATAACAAAAATGACCATATATTTCTCTTGAAGTTTTGTTTTTCCTCTCTGATATCTTTAATTTATTTTCTGAATCAAATACCATTGAAGTAAAAACCATTGCCAAAAGCATTTCACAGCTACTTAATACGATTGTTGCAACTTAGTAATAAGTTGAAACTTAGATGGGAATTCGACTCTGTGGCATTTCTGCCTGTCTAGTTTATGCTTCCTCTTCTGGGGGTTCTCCTACTGAAAATAAAGCAATAAACCCTGTATTGAGATTTATTTTATTCTGGCTGTAAAATATTGCATCAAAATTACGGCTGAACCAATTGGCTGAATGGCTCAAGGTGTAGAACCACTCGTTTTTGAGAAACTTCATAGAATTATTATTAACTGTGTCACAACAAGAATTTCTAGTACCTACCACAAAGATATACTACGAGTGAGTGATAAATACCTACAACAGTGTACTTACGAAATTGTTGAATAGCCTAATGAGCAGTGACAATGTGAACCCCAAAACTAAATAACATCTAAATATGAAGCAATAAATAAGGTGGTTGCTTGTCATCATCAATTAGTGATGTAAACACAAATCAACTACATGTTTACGAGACAGGCAGTATTAACGATACGACATTCACAAATCATATTATAATTAAATTGAAGAATAGAAACCTTATATTCTGCTTTAAAGGATGGAATGTTACCTGTTTTTCAAGCTCAGTTAACAAGGATTCAACAACTCTTCATTTGTCAACGACATTCAAAAGTTTTTTGGATGAAATTTTTCTTCAGTACATCAAGTTTCTGGGTGTTTTCTTCGGTCGAAATCTTTCTTGCACCCTATCAGTACTCTCAAGGTGGTTCAGCGATGAAGTAGAACTATTTGATCTGGTAGTTATTATGCAGTACAAAAATAAAACAAGTTTGGCTACTGAACTGTTGATTTATTAAATCATTATCATTAAATAAGACAAATTTATATATTATGATTAGAACTAGATGAAACAAAAAAAATGACGTTTCAGCAGATGGAATGTAAACGGCAAACTGTTAAACATTTAGATCTACAAAACCAAAACTGTGTCTAGTACAATATACACATGTATAAGAAAGTATAACATAACTGAGTAATTATGAAACAATGTACAACTAATAAGGTGAGATTAGTATACGCAGTACATTTTAAGAAATAATATACTTAATCCTAATCAGACATTTATATGTGTAAATGTTAACCGAGAACCCTTTGATAAATATTTGCTAGGATAAAAAGTGATGATTCCATTATCCCATGTTTAAAAGGGTGATTTAAGGTAAAACGCTAACATTTCGCTCCTGAAAAAGGTACTACTAACAATTTGTCAGTAGTAAAAAGAAAAAAATACTTAAATCAGTTAGAAACTTTCTTGGTGATGTAACTTGAAGCAGCATAAATGCTTTTTCATTGAAACTAAGACGGAAAAAAACTCATAAAAAGTGTGGAAAGTTACGACAATATTTGTTATTTTCTAGCAGTTTATTGGCATATTTGATTAGGATTCAAACCTGAAGTCTGATTGTTTGTACATCGATGGCTAGTTTCCAAATTAGCTGATGGTAGTACATAACGCGTAAACATAGCGTTCCGATAGATATCATGACTTTCATTCACAATGTTTGATGTTGATGATATTGGTGACACTGATACTGGTGCATGCATTGGATAGGTTTCTGGCACAGAAGTGAGTTTACTTAGATTTGTCTGCCATTCAGATAATGTTGGATATGTAATTGTTGATGTTGTCAGTGGAGTTGATTGTATTTGTGTAGTATTTGCAGTGCTATTTAAATCAGTTAAATGTGTAGAACTGTATACACTAGAATTCATTTTCACCGCAGCAGCCATCATGGCGGCAGTTGGCAGAAATGAAAAATTATTTGAGTTACCAGACATCACAACTACAGGTTCATTAATATTCTGTTGAGAGTGAAATATTTGTTGATGATTTTGTTGGTAGTGAGTCAATGATCTGCCTAATGATTCGTCTAGTTTAGAATTTTGTTCAATTATTTTGCGATTATTATCATTATCTGAAAAAAATTCACTCGTTTGTGAACTGATTAACTGAAAATTCTCATATTTTTTGGCAGTTATAGTATTCAATACTGAAGGTATAGATGAAGATGATGACGATGACAACGGTAGTGGAAAAGTGATATTTGCATTAGTACGATCTAATGATCCGACAGTTTCGTTTGCATTAAAGTACGTGTCATTTTTTCGCATAAAAGGGGGAATAAAACTATCAAAGTTTAAGTCATCTGTTAATTCTGAATCATGAATATTACTATTACTGACACTAGTACTATTAATGGTGTTGATATCATAATCCCTACATATTGTATGATACTTTAAAGATTTATTTTCACCTGGAAGTGATAACTTAAAATAATCTTTAGTGTCTCTTAGTCTTCGTAAGGGATTATTTATATCATGCAGTGAAAAGTGATTTGAATAAGTTTTACTCCCATCCTCAACACAATCATTATCAATACATGTGTTGGCTTTTATCAAAGGTAGATCATTTATGTACTGAGATGAATGAATTGATTTACTGACAGTTGAACAGCATGACAAACTTGTCAATCCTGATGATGACTTGACTGTATTTCCCTCAAGGTTGTTATTGTTTTCATTATTTAAAGATGCATTCAATTGTTGTAAACCTGTATCACGTAGTTGATTTGAACAATGCGTTAACGGAGTGAGTGGATTGTTAAAGTCACTTTGTATGAATTTTGTTGACGATGATGATGATAATGAAGGTACAGAACTAATTTTTTCCCGAGATGAATTAAGACCAAGAAGATTTGAAGAACTGATTCCGTGGATTACTGATGAATATGTGTTTAACATATTCGATGCAGCAAAAGCTGCAGCACTAAGATCTGTAGAATGCGCATTGTTACTATCATTACTGTTGTTGTTGTTGTTGTTAGGATATTCGCAGTTATTGAAACTAGTTATCCATGATGGATTAGGTATCCCAACTGGAAATCCGATATGTAGATTTGTTCCACTCGCGTATGGATAGTATGAATTTGGATAAGGTGATCCATTGTTAGTGGTGTAGAGCGATTTAACTGGATATGTCTCTGAAAGGGCAGTAGAATAATTATAAATACAATCCACATCATTTCGGTTATTTGTAAATAAGAAAATGCTGGACTAAAAATATTTGGACTGGTTCTGCTTGACAAACTTGGCACTATCTGATCATATGAATTCGATGCAATTGGGTAGGCGTTACGGCAATTATTAACTGAAGAATTTTGAAAATAGGTGATTTGTGGTTGAGTAAATGCTAAAGCTGCGTTTGATATCTGATTTGGTCCCACTGTAGGGAAACCATTTCCAAGTCCACTGGATACTTGACCAACTCCTGCACGAATTAGAGGAACAAATGGATTAGTGAGCGTTCCACGCAGCACAACATCTAAGTGTCGTTCACGTTTCCTCCATTTCGCTCGGCGATTTTTGAACCATACCTGTGAAAAAGTATATATATATTTTTTTTAATGAGTTAGAACTGCTCAAAAAGAAGAAGAATATAAACAGGGGGGAATGTTTTATGATTTGCCTATAACATGTTTTAAGTTTGCTCAAGTGGTTAAGAAAGGAAGAAAACTCCAGCTGACACTGATTCAAAATATTTATATTTTCCACCCAATTGATTGCTGAAAAAGGGACTTATATTCCACCTACATTAAGTACTTGTAACTGAGAGCCTAAGATTCCCAATAGATGTGGTGCAGTTTTCACTTGGATGGGTACAAACCAGACACCAGCCTTCTCGTATAATTGGATATTTATGTCGATTGATGCATATATTGGCTACCCTGTAATGAATTTGTAATTTGTTCTTAGCTAACGCTTTCGGATGATGAACATGCCATATTGTACAAACAACTCACATTTACTTTTAGGGTTGAACAGCATAAAAAGTTTTACCCATCTGTTTTATCAACATAGATCATAAATTGTTCGAAACACTAACTGTGAGGTAACAAAATATGTCCGAATGAAATCATGAGTTTTTAAACTACCTTCTTTATCTTCTTTTGAATTCAAGGTTTTGTCATCATTCACTGTTAAGTAAATGATTGAAGACATCTTTACAGGCCTGGTGACTTCACCCCGTATATGTGATTTTAACTAGTTTGCAACCATTTAGTTCATTTTATGTGGAAAATCTCTGAAATTTTACTTGAGCAAAGTACAAATATTGTCATTTGATTGGTTTTTACTCTGTTCCAGATATTCAACCAGAATGTTTTGGTTGACTCGTCCGTTTTTATTCTCAGTTTATTATCATATCAGTTGAGTTAATTACATTTTATACGAGAAAAGTAAGCACTACTTGCATCATAAACTAGTGTCATTTAGACAAGGAATAAAAACAAAAAGAGTGCAGTAAATAGTCACTTTAATCTTACCCGCATAAGTCAACAACATCATTATTGGTAGAAAAGCCTTGACCAAATGTGAGAATAGAATCTAAGCACTACGTCAGATTATAACTCCAAATAAGATGTTTATTCGGTACAGTATACAGTGAATCATTTGTTTATGAACATTGAATTGTGCCCAAAAAGCCATCCAGTAAATAATTCTGTATCACTGAGTGTAAAATCAAATAAGTAAATCTAATATAAGATCTATAATCACATCTAAATTTTGTTGTTAATTTCTTTTACGCTTAAAAGATAGTAAGACACCCTGATTCATTCTTACTTTATGGATCTTAAAGTTGCTTATTTGATTTATATGTTGATTAGAATATAACAGGTTTGAAAGAAATCCTTTAGAGTTGCACTTTTTTGAAGATGCGTTTTACTTCGAACATATCAAAAACCAGTGACCAATGAGAAGTGGGAAACACAACTAAGTGTTTCTTAGTTCACACAATGCCTGGTTCATATTCGGTAGCCTGCTATAAAAAATTTCCACCGAATGTATTATATCAGTTTGCTCCTTTTTAACTAGTTTTAGTCATTCAAATGACAACAAATCGTAGCATGTATTCTTTAGCATTTTCAAAATGTTTTTAGTTCATTATTTTTCAAGTTAACAATAAAATCAGTAGAAAATATCATGGTAGATGGGGATGAGTCCTTAAGCAGACAACAATATGTGATCTAAACATTCCTGGACTAGTAAACTTGAACAGGAGATTTGGCTGTATGAACTACCACCGGCAAACTTATGGATACTTTCCTATTCCTCCTACTGCTTCTGCAAAAACTACTTACAGACTAGGCGTTAGCCTAATGACAGTTGATTGTTATATCTCATTTTCAGTAATCCTGTCATTATAAATGTTGTTTAAATGCTGTAATTATTTCATCCAAAAATATTGTACAAAGAGTAAATTATTTTGAGACGTTACATACTGAGAACCGCATACGGTATCAACAATATTGTATGGAATAAAGCTACTATTATGATTATTCACTGATTTGATTCTGAGGTTCCTATTTCTGGGAATCAGTATATCAGTCTTAAACCACTGTGCTTGAGTTCATTGGTTATCACTCTCAAGCTTTACATTAATTTCCAGGATCGAATAATCCTCTTTCTATTGATTGTAGGATGACAACAGAAAGAAAGATATGGAAGTGTAATCGCTTATAGGAGTGATAAATATAAAAGCTGTAAGATTTTTGGAATTAGTAAACAGCAGGCTATAGACACTAGTTTTCAGCAGGACGTACCTCAAATTTTAAAGATACTTGGTAATTTGAACCCATTTCACTCAACACTAAAATTGGTTACCATCTGGTGAAGAGTTCATGTCTAAACGTTAACACATAATGGAAAAGAAGAAATACTCAAAAAATTACCGATGCAGAAGTTCGCAGCGCTCTGGATCTAATCCCACATGAAGGAAAGGCAATCGAAAGTGCGAAACACTTCCGTATTTAAAGAATATTCTTATACTGTTGCTATTGATACTTTTCAATTACCGTTGTTATACAGGGCTGAGTTACTCGACCTCTGTCGGCAGACAGGCTCCTATGCAGATGCCCCACTACTCTCCCATATTCATGGCATTGTATTCATCCTGGTGAATGGCAGAGGAATCCACGACGCATATTTCGCTCTGTTTGGAACTCGTCAGCTAGATGTACCTGCAACCCAATGAGTGATGTTATTCCACAGAGACCCAAACCCACTAAGCCACTGAGACACAAGATCCACCCCTTAGAGCGGATAACTCCTTGATGTTTTAAGCTATGGGTACTGAGTTCGAGTCTCAGTGGGAACAACATTTAATGGATGCAGATACATCCAGCTGACGGTTGAATCCCAAATAGGATTAAACGGATGTCTTGGATTCCACTGCTGGGCACCAAATAAACTACAATTCAGCTTTAACTTTAGATTCTTCAGTTATTATTCTTTTAATATGCGTTTATGACAGAATTCAGTTGTAAACTGTGAGTATTCCCATTTTATACATCCTCATAATTTTTTAGTTACCCACTGAGCATTTCGTTCCATTCTTTGAAACTTATTATTATTACCAGTCAACTGAAGGTAAATACTAATCCTCTAGAGAAGAGTTTTGTTTCTTCGTTATGAAAATATTTTCACTATATCAGCTAAGCGTCAGAAAAAGCACCAAATAAAACAAACAAATATATTTTCCTTAATTTTTGTTAGAAATATTGAAATCAAGAGAAATAAACGCACTGGGACTATTGTGAAGTGTTCTCAGTATGATAATCGTCATACTTAATAATCACTTTACCTGACATTTATCCAGTTTGAAAAGACTATAGTCTATACAAAAAGTTATGTCATAATCTTGACGTGAATTTCAAACAAACAATTTTAAACTCAAAAACAAAAGAGTTGATTAATGACTTGTTCCTTCTTTTATAAATATTTACCATTATATTATGATTCGAATAATACTATTAACTCGTATGTAAAACAGAAGCGAAAGATATTTTAGTGTATTAGTTCGGCTGACCTTTTAATTATATGAAAATATACTTTCAAATGCACAGATTATTGCGTATTACAAGATAAAGGAAATGATGCGCATAGTTTTTTGATTGATATACAGGAAAATGAATTTAACAGTAACTTGATTTCTTTGGAGTGAATGAATTCACTTTGAAGATAACTGAAAGTCAGGTGAGCAGGACAGATGTTTTAATCTACTTTCAGACTTCTTAATACTGAATACAATCGACCTCTAGTGTAGCTGATCTCAGTACCCTTGTGTTTTTTATAGTGAGCGCGGGTATTTAGCGGTAAAGTCAAAGTTCTGTAGCAAAATTTTTCTAACCGGTCACTCATATCAGTCTTAAATTCCTTCATCTCACAAAATACAGCACAGGGAACAGAAGTCCTGTTAAGTATAGTTTTAATCGTACTTTAAGAGGAGAAATGTTGATTGTGGGACGATTGAAAGTTGTGTATCAATTTCAGATTTCAGCCTCATATTTTGCTTTTCAAAAGTTAGAGTTCTTCCCAAGAATTAGTCTGCTATAGCTAGTTTAGCAACATAACTAGGGGATTGGAATAATTTATGGTTCTCCCCTAGTCTTGGCTCACTTTTGAACTTCGGCGATTTTTCACTTCAAGACGGTGCAAATGAAATTATTTTATTAGATTAAGAAACAATCATCACATCATCTCTGTAAATCACTACTGATTGCATGAGTGGTTTTGAAACAGTAAACACTCCTCGACAATTGCTTAGTCCTAACAGCGTTAAATTATCAAACAAGTAACAGTATTTCAAAATATACGAAAGAAGAATTTAGACTAATAATGACTGTTCAGAACATAGATAAGAATGGGAATGTGTATTTATTGGCTGCACCAAAGGAGACCAAACAACTTATATCTCTACTTTTCTACAAAGTTCGTCCAAATAGTTAGCAATTTTTGTGTCCTGATAATGGACTTAGTACAGATATGAATATTAACCAGGTTTCACCGCTAATAAATATAAAAAATGTATTAGTCGGTAAGAATTTGGAGGAGTATATACGAAAAGCTCAAGTCAGTGCTCTTGTATGGCTCAGAGACTTGGCGCGTCACGAAAGGTATTTCCAATAAACTACAGACATTCATCAACAACTGCTTACGCTCGCTGCTGAAGATCAGATGGCCAGAAAGAATAAGCAACAAGGAACTCTGGGAACGAACCAACCAAGAACCTATCACGCAACAAATATGCAGGAGGAAGTGGAGATGGATTGGCCATGCACTGAGAAGGCCGACGGAGGACATCACGCGTCAGGCCAGTTCCTCGAGTGGAATCCCCATGGGAAGCGACGAGTTGGACGTCCGAGGGTGACATGGAGGAGGTCGTGCGAGGAGGAAATGAGAGGTTGTGGGCTGTCGTGGGACCAGGTTCAAAAGATCTCAGAGAACAGAGGTCACTGGAGGCGTGCTACTGAAGCCCTATGTTCCACTAGGAACCCAAGGGACTAATAATAATAAAATTGATTAAAGCTATGCTAGTTTTTTAATATTTTGTAACAAGCACCACATATATCAGAAGGCTGAAGTCTTTAAACTCACCCTAATTATCCCACAACATGCCAAATAAAGACTTGACGAAGTTTAGTGTGAGGGAACAACCCTAATTCCATTTAAGTAAACCAACCAGTTGATGAAAAGGAACAACAGTTAAAAGATCAGCAACTTTTGCGAATAATGAAAAATTAATACCACCTGAGTTTTATTGATACGACGGTCAGTACTTCTCAGGGCGGTATATTATGTAAACATGAGAACTGTCTGACTGTTTAAACCATTTCAGGTTACAATGCACAGTTATTCTCTAGTCGTCAATCCTGACAATGAAACTTTCACGACGTAAAAGCGAAATCCAGATATTACTCGACAACTACTGTTTTTATTCTGAACTACATATCTCTGTTATCTTGAAAAGCTTGTTAAATTTAGTTCCCAATGCACACTAGACAACATTTACGATTAAATACGGCGCACTTAAGTATTTGGTTTTCATTTTAAAAAGACCAGGGTTATCTGTAAACAATCATCCTTTTTTATCATTGGTTTCAAGAACTAGTATATTTAAAATAATTTTAAGTCTGTATCCATCACTAAACTTAATTTTGCAACTATCAATATTTTTCTTAAAACTTTATTTCACGGCCAAATTCACCATTCAATAGACATTAAAATGATAAAATGAACAACCACAAGTGTATATTACTAAATGATATAATAATATATTTTCTTCTTGTTTGGCTGATTTCTCTTTTAACTTGCTTTCCGCCACGCGCATACTTTTACTACTTATGGTCTCATTATTGTTAGTAGTAACAGTATCAGTAAGCATATTTAAAAGGTGAATATGACGTTTATGACTATTTGAGTTTGTGTGTAAAAATTATTTATGCACTGAGTGTTTTATAGCTGTCTACCTTATGCTTTACTTTACTTCTTGTTCATAAAAACTAAGCCTAATTTAAAGTCTGGAAATTTCACTGGTGACGCGACAGTTTAAAAACAGTTTTAACTTACTATCTGAGGTGAATTTTATTGGTTATTTCAAGATTTAAAGTAATAGTAATTATTTCAAGTTTTTGGTGATCAAAGGGTGACTATCATGACTCACTAGCGTGGTGTATAACACCCTCTTGTTCGCAACGTAGGGGCTGGGTTTGTCTCAGTGGAAACAGTGCCACTTATTCAGCTGATGAGTCCCAAATATGAGGAAACACTTGTCCCAGATTCTACTGCTAGCCACTGTCTATCATCACTTTCAGCATCATTCCGGTTTCTGCTTTGCATATTGGCATTTATGTGCCATTTTCTTGTGCAATTTGTAACTACTTTTTGTTACACAGTTTCTATTTTTACTAAAGTTGAATTATCTCATCTATGTGCAAACCTAAGCATTTCATAGCACCTGAGAGATAGTGGTAATAGTTCTATGACTTACTTAGCTTCTGAGTATTTTCATGTAATACTAGTTAGGAAAATATACAAAACGAAAAGATATCAGAAATCTAATCCAACGCGTTACAACCATTTTTGGTAGGCTGTTACGCGCTGTTGGTGTTATCTCAGATTGACAAGTTATGTTACAAATTCATCAATTATCGTATTCACAGTAAAAGGTCAACTTACTAAGCCTTTAGGCAAGTTAACCTGTTTTCAAACTGACATATAAAATAACATCAAATCAAACTTCTCATTCACCTAAACACTGAATACACAGAAGCTCATTGATTCGTATTTATAAGTTTCCCATCGAAGCTTGACAGGATAGATTATTATAATTATTATATATTATTTGTAATTCTCAGAACAATGACAACAAGAGAGATAATTGTAAAAATCAAAGAAATGAATAGAAATAAGTGGAAGCTAATTTTTGAATCTTAGAAGACAATGATTTATTTTTAATAAAGTAGTTGATAGACCTTATCACGTGAAACATGTTATAGGAATAGAAATTGATACAAACCAAACAAACATGTTTGGGACTAACGCGAATAAAGTTTTCTATGTGTAAAATGATAACTATTTAAATGAGCAAAAGCCAAGTATTTTGTAAGTGTAAAACTTCGGCACTATTGTAGAATGCAACTTAATATTAGATTTGTTTATTTGGTATAGTACATAGCCACCAAATAAATAATATTATATCGCTGTGCGCTATATCAAATAAACAATCTAACATGGGAACAAGTATTTTAGTTTGGTTGCAGTTTAATATCCCACAGGTATGGCACATTTTATAGTCATATTTATTTCATGAAAATCCACCTATGATAATATGTTACAAGGATATCGTCCGTAAAACACTCAAAAGAGTTCCTTAAAAGTCTTAGAAAAATTTCTAGTCAATGGAATTTCCTTCTCACCATCTGTGTGATTTCTAAATCACTTAATAACCTTTGAAAATCTGTAACAGACATTAAGAATATAGTCAGATTTTCGTGAGTAAGAAGAATTAACTTATGGCCTATGTTCACATTTTTCGCATTCACTTCGAATTTAAGATCATCCCCAAAAACTAGAGAAACTGAGTACAAATTCTGTAGAAGTAGAAGAGAAGTCACCCTAGAAGAAGTAACAACAGTAACCGTTTTTGCAAGTCACCGAATTTCTTAGCAATTATTCAAATAGTGCTTACGTATGCTTATTTGAAGATTGTAGAAGAACTGGATTTTTTCAACTGGTCGGAAATGAATTTTGTGCGTAGATAACTATTCATAAATAGTTCTAAGACACCTTAGATATAGTTAATGCCCCTTTCGGTAGGTATTTCCAAGTGTAATATGAAATCAAGCATGACTACACCGATCTATTCATTTTGATGCAAAGTAGTACCTTCCCATCATAATGAATGGGTCAGTTTTCTTTCGACCGGTGTTAACTAGCATTTAATTTTCCCTCTTGATTTACCTTTCTATGTTTAATGTCTTAACCTACTAACTGGCTGCTCAAATCAATGAATTTCTTGTTGATCTATACGAGATGTATAGAATCAGCTGTATAAATCAAATGCACAGCCTCTTTTATTCTCCTTTCTTTCACCTATTAAGAAGTCGTTCAATTTAGTTTAGACTTTCTCAAATGAATTATTTTACAACCCATTGTCAACATTTGTCGCTGTTTTTACTGGGATCGAGTACCTCCTACCTCAATGAAATTTAGATATATGCAACCTTCTGGTTCTTCATTTCTTACCAAAGGCTAATTGAAGTCAAGAAGTAGTGAGAGAACATATCTTTTGATTTATAACTCTTTAGTGGGGTGAATACATACATCTTATAAAAGTCATCGTAGGGATATTCACTTAATTATACTGAATGAAGTGAAGACTCTAAGTGATATTCCACCGATAGAAGTCATTCAAAAAATTTCATTATCTTAAAGATCTCAGGTACTGGAGTACAGTAAAAAAAAGTAGCTGATTATTTAAGTCGATTTTACACGATAATTAAGAGTAAATCACTTTTAGAAGTGTTTGTACCAATGATTCTATTCTTTATGGAATCTCAGATTTTATTATAAAAAGGTGAAGTTAAAAACATTTGAATGTTTTGAACTTGTTTGTTACAGAACTTGGATCTGATGTGAGATAATGAAAAGCGTGTAAGATACCTACAATAACTCATACCAGTGCAGAGGATAATCGTTAATATAACCCAAGCAAACAAGTAATTCCTCACTGATGTTCGAAAAACCCTACCTCGGGTTTAGGTTAGTATTCATCACGAACTGACATCAGTTGTTGAACTAACTTGAAGGTGAAGACAGTTACTCAACGATGGTATTGAATAGAAGTCAAGCAAAATCATGAACTTGAAGAAGTGTGGAAATATGAATCACTAAGTCTTGACTCTAACTCTGTGGTAATGTAATGGCTGTGGAACCCAAAGGTCTTGGATTCGAGAGGTCACTGGTGCGCAATGTTGAGAAGTTCCATCCTAGGAGAAAACGGTGGACACTAGGACGGCAAGCTGTCCAGTGCTCCCAGGTTTTCAATGGTTATCCAACTGATGTTATTTCGTTATGAATACCAACCGGAAATTAATAAATTAACCCCCACAAACCTCCAAATTGACTTGCTTAGAATTATGGCTGTACTATCAGTTGATAAACTTCCCCAGAGAACATCAGTATGAATGTTACTAAAGCCTGATAAGAGCACTTGTGATAAATTAACTGGAGATTATTTTACTGTGAGCAATACATTTTCAACATAGTAACTTACTCGAACACGACTCTCGGAAAGTTCTGTCCATGTAGCTATCTCTTCGCGTAAATTCATATCAGGATAACGATTCCTCGCGAATGTCGCCTCTAATTCTTGTAACTGCTGACTTGTAAAATGTGTTCGTTGACGACGTTGACGCTTAGTAAACTGTGGACGACAAGAATGTGTTTTATTAAAAGAAGAATTGTTTGTATTGGAATCAAATGTCTCTAGGTTCGATTTCATTTGATCACTCGACTCCTTTGATGATATTTGATGCTTCGACTTAACTATCATATCAGAATTTGCCACTGACTCCACATTATGAAAGGAATGAGAAGAACGCGGAATAGAAGTAGTTGCAGGAATACCAACATTTAGAGTATTCATAAAATTATTGGAGGAAAATAAACCTTCAGTAATAACATTATGGTTAAGACTATTTATTACATGTTTATTGCTGTTATTGTTGTTACTAATTATTTTATTACGTTCACCTTCCTTCTTAAAATCAAAAGGTTTTCCTCCTCTCTCTGTTAATTTCGTATGGTTGTTAGGGTACAAATTGTTTGGTATTGATTTTCGCATACTATTTATTTTAATTTGTGTCAATTCAGCATTGAAATCAAGTGTATGAGATGTACCGAATTTTTCGAATTCGTGTTTAAATGAACGTTTATTTAGAGGATAAACGTGATCTAAATTAGAATAACTTCCGAAATCATAATTATTATATGATTCATTGAAATTAATTTTTTGTATTTTACATGACTGATTTGTGATATGATTATTAGGATTGTTAGGCGTATTTGTAGTAAGAGCATTGCTGTTGGATATTGCTGTAACAGATGTCATGGTAGTACTTGTGCCGTTCATTGATTTCAGTCTCTGGAACCAAAATAAGTACAATAGAAAGTGTCACATATTTTTTTGTGTAATATTTTAAACAAGAATACTTTATGCGCTTACCCTTTTATTTGTGGGAAATATTTACACAAAACGCTAGTCCTAACAAATTTTGCTTAAAAACGGTCAACATTTTGTTCCATGCTAGGTGAACAAAAACCGGATTTACACCGAATTTTAAAATGGGCAACCTTTGAACCATACAAACCAACTTGATTAGGGTCAAGAGTTGTTCAATAGTCATGCTTCATGACAAGACTAGTTGATCCATAATGTGCATTTCCCAGGAAGGTTAGTGGTATTACAGTAATGGATAGCTTTCTCAGTGAAACATTTATATTAAATTTGTATGACCTACAACGAAGAATGTAATTAGGGCCGAATTCTTAAGAGATCCTTGGATTTGGTTGATAAGTTCGGAAGATTTCGAAAAACGAAGCTAAAAGACGCTTTTCTTGGTTTATAGTGATCTAATTTCAACAGTTATAGCTATATGCACTTTTTCCATAGTAGGATATTATAGATACGGTTGCACCAATGAATCTAAACTGACAGTCAGCAAAATAATCATAAAGGGGTATGGTAGAGGTAGATACGTGAACTGTCGACGTTTATATTGCAGAAAAACCCCTATAAAATGAATAAGCAATTTAAAAATACAACCGCATCAGACAGTTCTTTTTAACATTTATTACAGTTGAGCCCATTCTTAGCTATCTAGATGTGACACCAACCAAATCTCCTGGTAGAAACTACTCAAGAAAAATCGAATACTGCAACTTTTGATAAAAAAATATTATAAACTGACGAAATGTAGTACTCAATGGCCGGAGAGGAGAAGAACTATTGACGGTAGTCAGATTTTTCTAGGAAACTATATTGACACCAGAGATGAGTAGTTCAACTGCTACATGGATCGTACAATTCGTAAATAATTTGGAAAATGTCATGCTATATATACTGTTGCATGGAAAGCAGTTCATCAGAGTCAGTGTCTAAATTTCTGGACAGTATGAGGTGAGTTTATCTTGAGATACTGTTAATGAATTGATCTTCAAAGCAATGGAGCTGTAGTCATCTCGTTCATTTTTTATATCACATTCAGCGTAATCTGGTCTGTACATACTAACTTCATAAGGAATAAGATTTCTTTTGAAGTCCGTGACATCAAACCACTATCATCCTCATTCCGAGCTGCAAACCTCCTCTATAATTTCAAAGAAAATTTCTTGAGTAAATTTTGAAGTATTGTTAGTATTAAGAGGAACGCTTTTACTCAAGTTGTTCTGAATAAAGCATCATACAACTTAGTTATAAGAAATAACTAGAGTTGAATATTGTTATGGCACAGAAAAAAATTCATAACTGTTATCTCATGTACCTAGCTTAAGTTCGCTAATTGAGTTTGCCGTAATTTTAGTTTCCGCAGAGATTTTTTGTTCGAGTAGATTCGTTAAACTGGAATGTAAAGCGAAAATCTGAGCACAAAATGCGCATCAGAAATAACCATAAAATGTTACACCAAAAGAAAATAATATGTAGATACCAAATTGTTTGAAACAGATTAGACGAGTCTAAATGTGATGAAGTGTCATTATTCTGCCAGTTATTTCAACAGCTGAATAATCAGTATTTGCCAGCTTAAGAGTACAGTGTCCTCCAAAGCTTGGGTATGAAACTGAGATCCAGAAAACCAAACAAATACATATACTAATAATATTCTACTCGGTAACTATTCCTATAGATACAGATGAGTTGTACCTACTGATATTTAGCTACAGAACCTATTGAGATATTTGTGTATTCAGTTTATTTGTGTCAGTCAAATATCAAGTGTACTGATTTCAAGCCGAATGATGATGTACCGCATAAATTATTAAAAATCGTGTCATTTTAAAATTCTTATTACTTTAATCTCTATATTTTCAATTAGTTGACTAAAATTATCAGAAATATTTTAGTAAATGAAGTTCAAACACTTAGTTGAAATAGTTTCCAAATAACACGAGTGAATATTAGCTCAAAACCCATTATTACTGAGTAGCACTTTTCGTAAAAACCTTTGTTAACTACTCTTTGTCAGCATTCTGTATCAAGCAAACGGTTCTAGTGTCGAAGCCACTTCAGTATCTTCATAAACTCTTTGGAAAATTCTTTCGCATATTACTGGTATTATTCTGTGATTAAAGATAAAATACCTTTTTCGCAGATCTCAGAACGCATGTCACACGTTCATTAGGCTTCCTATGATTTGTCACTTTCATGTTGTTTCTCTACAAAGTGTAGGAAAGTAGATTATTTCACGTATTCATACTGGCTATCATGACACAATAGAGGAAGATAGGGCGTTGACATATTGTACTGAGACATTGTCGCTGAAGTACAGATTTTGTAACACTATGCGTAATAATCAAGTTAAGTAAACGGTGTATTTTAACATTTCACCGATTGTCCATTAAAAGTAGTTTATTGTTCATTCCAGTGGTTCTTATGTTAAAAAATTGTTTGACTGATTTTCAATAGTTAACTAGCCGATATCATTTCCTGTTGGAAATGCTTGTGGAAACAACATACCATTGATACACCTCAGTTTGATAACAAGAATTTCATTAGCTCATCAATCAGCCACTGACAGAAAGGATTTACTATGTATATGATGGGTTTATTATCACTTATGATAAATGTCTACATCATCAACAACTGAAGTGACAAAATTCTTGTTCGTTTGGCTGTGCCTACCACTATCTTTATTGCGGCTACATGTGTGACCAAAATTTTTTAGCGAACTAGCTACAAATGTGTCGTGGAATACCGCTTCAGCCGTGTCTCGTTCATACAAAGAAAAAAATAGGGAAAAAGACGGAAATACGTCCTACAGCTATGAGTGATAAAACGGTATCCACGTATATATATATATATATATATATATATATATATATATATATATATATATATATATCAGCAGTTTAAGTTTAAACATGTTATTATGGTGTTTCAGATAATCACATATAACATAAATGTAATGGGAGTTAAAATGAAAAAAGATTAAAATATTCTGAATGGCAGTAACACCGCAGTCTAAGATTACTGATTAGAATTGCTAAACTGTAAATCGAAATAAGATTACTCAGAAATGATTATACTTACCAACAAATTGTCAGCGAAATGAGATTCCCCTTTTTTACTTGTTGTTTTTCTTTTCTTGATCTCTATCTTTCTTCCTGGCTTTGTCAAATAATGATTAAGGGAGGATAAAGGAAAATCCTTTTAGTCCTTGAGATTTCTTTTTCTGCTTTCCTTTCGAATGGAAGATTGATAACAGGTGCCGAAGATCACGTACAACGAAAGCAAAGAAGCAAGCGTGAGAGAGAGATGGATAAAATGAAAGATGGGATAAGTATGTGTATGAGTGATCTCAAAAGAAAGCAGCTTAATTCATGTAAAGCCGTTGTGTTTATGTCAAGGAAAAAAGTAATAGGTTGAATGAAGCTTTAATAAATCTGCTGCATTCTGACGACACTGAAATTTGATTTCTGCAAATCCTTGGATTTTAAATTGGCTTAATTAGACTAGTAATCAAAAATCAAACTAATCGTACAATGTATTCGAATAAGTATGTCAACTTCTAAGCCCGTGCTTAACAGACAGTGGATTCTGAGGATTGAAGCTGCCTAATCCATATTTAAGTAGACAAACCTAGGTTGTGATTGAGTTTTAAAACTGAAGTGTCTGTTTGACGCTCTGTTTCTCTCTCTCTCTCTCTCGTTCTTCTGAATCTTTTAATTCTATCCATCTTTTTTCCTGTTACACACGTAACTGGACTTCATTTCACCCCCTTCCCTTCAGGATTTACTTCATTTTACTAACAAGAAGAATGATTGGAAATTTCTGAATCATTATTGGGATAAGATATGTGTAACGAAATTCGGGTAAGAAAAAAAGGGGCACCAAGTCATCATATGTTTCCCACGCAAACACCTTTTTCCTCTCCTTAAATCCTAAATCCTTTAAACCACTAAACTTCAAGAATTCTCATTTCAGATAGATTAGGAAAGAGCATAATAATGCAAAACATAAATTCACTTCGGTTGTCGGCCGTTTGGATTTAAGACAAGCCGACAGATCCGTAAAACAGCATACAGCGCATACAAACAAATATTGTATCACATACACTGTCAACTGAAAACCATTAGAATAAATCTTTCACGTTGGATAACGAAACCTGTGTCAGAGATTCTGGGGCAGATAAAATCAGATGAATAAAGCTTAACCAATCAAGTATTAGTCCAGCAAATTTGATAAAAAGGTGAAGGGTGAGAAAAATTAACGGAGACATTAGTTCTGTCTTTTAAAGAGAATAAGTACTTTTCTAAATTTTTGAAATTGAAACTCATGACAATTACTGCCTTGACATAGAATAATTAGCAAATGTCTCTAGTCAATAGTATTGCTAAGTGAGACACTTGCAAATCTCATTATTGTTGGTAAATTATAGAAGTAGAAGAATGACGGATGCCACTAATTTTACTAAATTAGTAATAGGAAATATTTGATTTAATGGTTTAGGATGAAAGAGCTTATGAAATTGTCAGATGAATAATAACAGCTTCAATTTTATTCACTGCTGTGGTTCTATGTTGAGCCATCAAATCCTCTCTTTTTATTCATTATATTCAGCAGCGGTTGCCTGGGGAATAAGGTACACGTACTTAGACATACATAAGACTCGGCAGATGGATACTGGAGATTTTCTACAATATCGAAACATTCCATGCTAATAAATAAACGGTTGTCAGTGTTTGTGTTCCCTTGTACTGTTGTTCTCACTTGGACAACAGAAGTCATGCACTTCAAACGCTGCAACGTCGTTCCTTAGGCTACTGCTAGCCACTGCCCATCATTAATAATAACCGTTACATGTAACTATGATAGGTGTCAGTTATGATTAC